AAGGGCCAATGGCATCAACACCCTTCCACTCCGCGATCCTGTCCAACGCTTTCGCGCGCTCCACGGCAACGCTGAAAAGATCGTAGCTCCGGAAGGTCCACTGATTCCTATACTGAACTTAGACCCCTAGCAAAAATTATAATTTTAGCTGCTTCTTAGGGTTTATAGTAACCAAAGATTAAAAATTATTTCTAAGTACCCCTAAGATTCATGTAGCGGTAGTAAGAAGCCCGTCTGACCAGCAAAGTGGTGTACTCCTCGCAGGTGACTCTGCCTGCTTGTCGCTCTTCACAATACTCCTTCGCAGATAGCCTCAGAAGCTGCTTCTCCCGATCTGTGAGAGGCTGCGGGGTCTTCATCGGAACCGCTTCAAAAACATCTCGGAACCATGCCGACAACTTCTCGCTCTCCCGACAATCAGGCGGCGGAAAGTCAGTGCTCGGAGTGTATTTCAGCCGCTTTGCCTCCATGGCACTTGTAGCGGCGTGGCAACCCCCTCGTTTGTAAACGGCTGGCCGGGTCTTGTGTTCCATAACTCCGACTGGTTTTGTTCTGCATTGTCGTAACATGCACGTGCGCTGCAGCAAATAAAATCTACCCACGATTCATTCTCCTCAAGACTCCACTAGTTACTCTAGCTTCCTAAAGCATGGTAAAGCATGTCATCCGAACTCAAACAAACGACGAGTGCAACTTAGTGATATCACTCGTGTCATTCCTACAGTATCACAGCAAACACTGTTGCCAGTAGTTGCTCTTGTACAGCTATACTACACTGACCATGATCGATTCAGCACGGCTGTGGTAAGCCGAGGGGCGGCCGGCACGCCCGAGAAACCCTCTTCCGCCCAGCGTGAAGTGGTCAGGAGCAGGGCGCCGCCGTCGCTGAGCTCGATGGCTTCCTGACAGCACGTAGTATTCTATATAGACTGACATATTCATATGACATGATGCTATACGTTTATGCTACAGTATACTCTCTTATATGATAGCATAATAGTATACGTGTTGTTCGAAGTGGGGGCTGCAAGGGTTTTGATACAAGCTAATCTTCTCTGTATCGTTAGGGCTTGTAAGCTGGACAGGGTGGTGATACTTGTAGGCAATTGGCATAATGATGATACTGGTTCGCTGCTGCTGTTGCGGAGAGTTTTCTGACCGGGGTTAGTCATGCGGCCTCTCGTATGGTTGTGGCGCAACTGCCACCGCGGCCTTCCACCTTGGATGGTTGGTCTTTGCCTTCGTCCGGTCTAGGGTCCAAACGATGTACCGCGCAGGTGGTGGAACCGTTTAGACAAGTTCCTTCGTTCTGTCGGTCTCGAACCGACTCGAGCCGACCGACTGTACCGCACAACTCTGTGCCTTTTTCTAGGTGCGAATGGCCCTGAGAACGATGTGCCACGGCCAAGATGTGCTGCAGCGACTGCACCATTCTGTGATTCTATGTAAGCAATTGACAGAAGCCTCTCTGCGACCTGGTGTGGCTCCTGATGCTGTTGGTTTTCCTTCAGACCATTCACTGCAAAACAGCCTGACCTCGAACTTCGCAACATGGTTAATCGTTATCGAATATGCAGACTCGCGAAACCTTGCTACTCGGGCACAGGCTCCTCGAAACTCTTCGCCACTTCTACCCGGTGCAACACCGTATTCTTAGGCAGGTCCTGCTCTTCCGCTTTTCCGAAGGTTCTTTGGGCAGCCTCATCGCCGCAGAAAACCACCGGCACCTTCTCGAAGAGCACTGGCGTTTGGACGTTGAGGGATGTTGAGGACTTTGACTTTACGCTCTCACAACTCCAGCAAGGATTTAGAGGGTTTTGGGGTTCAGGATTCTTGAGTTGGGGGAGGGTGGGTTTCGACTCTCACGACTTGCACAAGGCTCAGGGTCTTTAGAAATGTAAGAGTTCTACAGTTCTACCATGGTTTTTGGTAAAGTTTCTGGAATTCTTGGGCCAAGGTTTCTAGTGTTGATGCTGTCACACTCAAACTCCACCCTGCCACATGAGGGCTCATGGTGCGATTTGAACATGGACGTGATGCACAAAAGTAAGGTAAGATTGACTAGGCTCATGGGGAGATCCGTGGCAGGCCTTTCTACGATGTATGCCATCGACGTCATGCGGTTGCCACGAGTGCAGGCATACATGCAGGCTATCCTTGTTTTGTCTGTCGGCCCGTGCAAAGGTTACTTTGTTCTCTTGAGTTGCCGGCGGATGGTCGTTTCCTGTCCCATTCCGCAGCCGTCAGTCAAAGAGATCTCCAGCCACCAGGGGGCTGACGAGACCTCGCTGAGACTCGGCACTTGCTGAAGAGTTGGAACTGCATTAGCCTCGAGATGCTCCCAAATGATGGCCGCGATGCTCTCAGGCGTCACTCGGGCACTAGGGACGGGCAAGCAATCCTCTTGTGGGATCGAGAAAGTGGCACCGTCGCTCGCGATGCAGATTTGCCCCTTGGCCTCAGTGATCTGGGTGCCGCCACTGGCCAGCTTGGGTAAAATAACCTTGTCCGACAGCTTCCTGCAAACATCGGCCGCGGCTTCGCGCAGAAGGCTTGCATCCACTCCAACGGCAGCGGCCAGGCGCACCTTGACTGCCATGCTCTCTGCCAAGAGGCGCAGTCGTCGTTTGTCACGTGAGGCAAGTCGTGTGCAAGAGAACCTCAAGTCCGGCCCTTGCACCAAAACCTCCCAGAGACCGTCTGCAGGCGCGGGTCGCTGTGGCCCCTTGAACACTCCGTGCTCCCTCTTCGGCTCTAAAGGGCTCTCCTTCAAGGGCACAAGGTCCTCTGAAGCTCTGGGGGCCAAGAAGGGTTTCGGAGCCGGAGGCCCGGTCTCCTCGGCCCTCAGAGCCTCGCAGGCAACGCATAGCTCTCGACCATCCCGGGATCTCAACCTTTCTTGCCCAGTTCAGACTACAAAGCGGTTTCAACTTTCCAAGGCATGAAAAAAACCGAAACCAGGAGCTTAGTGCGTGCAGACTCTGCCAAGAAACAAGGGCGTCAAGTGCTGGGCGCATGACTCGTTAAGCAAGCACCAACCCTGCAGCAGGTGCTTGGCAATGAGGTTCGGATACGCTGCCGCTTGTCCAGTTTCACTTGCCATGGCTCGAGGCGAAGGAGTCGGTAGAGCTAACCAACTCACCAATTCCGCTGTGAGCTGCTTCTGAAATAACAACTAAACTAACCATAACAGCTAGACGATGCATACTGCTTGGATTCGATTGCGCCCCAACAGAACGTCTTGACCCTTCTGCAGCAGATACGGGCTCTTGCCAGCATGGCTACGGCAGGAAAGCTTCTGAGGGAAGCACAGCCTTCTGTGACAGATGAGCGAACGTTTAAACATCCTTAAATGGGAGTTTCCGAAAATAAGGGTACCTGATTTTGGGGTCCTTATAACAAGGATCCTATTATTTAGGGTACCATATAAGGGTCCCCTATTTTCGGAAACCCCCAAATGCATTGCCTGACCTTTGACCGCCGGAGTTCCACCGCCATCAGCTCGGAGGCAGAGGCACTCTTAGCGTTCACCAGCACAGCCGCGGCCTGACGAAAAAACGTCTTGTCCCGTTATTGCTTAGGGCTTGCAATGTGTTTGTGTTTAGGGTTAAGGGTTAAGGGTTTAGGGTTTAGGTGTTTGTAATACCTCTCCTGGACAACCGTTATGTATGCTCTTCCTTTTCCCAATAATGACTGGATATGACTGGTGGCAACTACCAACCATCAAAACGACACCCTAAACCCTAAACCCTAAACCGTGGACAGACTACATGAGGGAAATATGGCGACCTGGGCACACGACCAGATGCCAGTGTCACGAGTCCACAACCCTTCAGCTGACTCGCAGCTGGTGGCGATGGACCCTACACATAGCCAGAGCTGGGTGGATCGAGATCTCAGCTCATGTAGGTTTATGTCCAGCCTGAATGTGCCGAACAGCCGGAGCACATGAGTGATCATGGGGTACATGCTCCTGATGCTTCAGATGGATAGAGACTATTCAAAATTTCTTGTCATGTGCTCCAATGCTGGCCAGCCCATTTCGCCGCGAAAGTGTTGCAACTGCTGCTGCGTTCTGAGTAGAGGCTGGGGTGGCACGCAACTTCCGCCCTCGCAAGCCCTGAGGTGTCGTCGTGAATATGTTGGATTCCTGTTCAGGTGCATCAAAAGGCGTTTTCGTGTGCTTTCGTCAATCATATCCTGCTTCTTCCTTATCAGGGGCTTTCAAATTAAATATCTGTTTTTCCAATTGACATGCTGGGGCATGTCCTTCCCGCCTCTATGTTCTTCTGCGCCAGCTGCTGCTGCAACTCTGTCGTCGCGCGCTGTGCATCACTCAAACGGCCGCCACCTCCAGTCATACCAAGTTGGAGAAGGTGCAACAACACCACCAACAAAATCTTCACAAACTTTAACTCAAATCAGATACGATTGTCGCGCAAATCCAAGATGAGGTAGCGGAGCTGCTGCCTTCCCACAATTCGAGCACAGGCCTATACCCTCCGTCACTGGGGGACATTCGCAAACTTGCAGCACCACCTCTACATCTTCCAGTCATAACTACAACATCTGGCCTGACCGCATCATGCAGAGCTCCACGAAGGGGCTTCACCACATCCGGCCCATTGAAGCTAACAATGCGGATATAGCCTCAGAGAGAGAGAGAGGGAGAGAGAGAGAGAGAGAGAGAGAGTGACAGACCAACAGAGAGACGGAGAGACAGACAGACAGACAGACAGACAGACAGACAGACAGACAGACAGACAGACAGACCGACCGACCGACCGACCGACCGACGGACCGACGGACGGACAAACGGACCAGACGGACAGATAACGGATGAACACACGCGCTTATACGTAAACATATATATATATATGTAGAGGTATGCCCATACATATACATACATACATACATACACATACTGTCATATACACACCTACACACCCAAATACATACATACATACATACATACATACATACATGCATGCATGCATGCATGCATGCATGCATGCATGCATGCATACAAAATACACACCTCAATACATTCATACATACATACATACATGCATACATGCATGCATGCATGCATGCATGCGTGCATGCGTGCGTGCGTGCGTGCGTGCGTGCGTGCGTGCGTG